TCATCATTGTTACATCGCACCCTGACTGGCTCATCTCCTCCCTCTCGGGGATTATTGTTGAAGGAGCCAGAGGACAGTGTGGGGCCCGCCTTGGCATGAATCCCACTTCTGCCACCCACTACTGTGGGAACCCACCAAGATCAAACATGTACTTGACACTTCAAAGACTAGAAAGTGGAGACTCCGACAGAAACCTGTGCACCAATGTCCATCGCAGCACTGCTCACAAAACCACAGGAGGGAAACAACCCACGTGTCTATCAACGGAGGGAGGAATAAACAAAACTCGGGCTAGTCCTACAGTGGAATAGCATTCACAAAGGGAAATGAAGTCCTGATAGGTGCCACAGCATGAATGAACCTTGAAAACATGCTCGGGGAAACACGGCAGTCACAGAAGACCACCTAGTACGGCAGCATTCGCAGGAAGCATCGAGCCCAGGCACATCCAGAGACCAAGCAGATCAGAGGGGTCTGGCACAGGGATGGCGGTGGAAGGGAGTGTGATCTAAAGCACCATTTGACATCCTCACCAGCGATGCGTGAGCCCCACCTTCCCTCTCTGTCCTTGCAGTCCTCATGCCGGGCCAGCAGGAACACAGTGAGAGGCTACTTCCTGGCAGGCCGGGACATGACGTGGTGGCCGGTAAGTGTCCCTGGCTCCTGCCCCTCTCCTCTGTCTGGCAGGCAGGGTCAGATCTCCAAGTCAGCTAGCACTTGCTGAGGGTCTGCCCTTGGATTTGAACTTGGGGTGCAAGGGATGTGCTGAACATCGTATAAAGGGAGGGGGTTTGGGGGTGGCGGTCTCCTTGTGTTCTTCCCTAACTGAGGGGCCCGTCATGGGCACACTGACTCCCTGGGTCCCAGGCATCTCTCCTGCGGGCTCTGTGGACAGTTGCAATGTGCGGTCAGGTCAGCAGGGACTGGTCGCTGCCCCTGGTTCCCTCTTGCTCTTCCAGATCGGAGCCTCCCTCTTTGCCAGCAGCGAGGGGTCCGGCCTCTTCATCGGACTGGCAGGCTCAGGTGCAGCTGGAGGCTTGGCCGTGGCAGGCTTCGAGTGGAATGTAAGGCTCTTGGGGAGACAGTCAGGCTGGGAGATGGGGCTCAGTGACCGAGGAGCGGTGCAGCTTGTGTCAGTCACAATCCAGTGTTTGCAGCTTGGTTCCTGGGGACAGTAGAGATAGCTGAGCCGGAGGGAATAGTTGGACCTGGTCCAGGTCTCCAGATGGGGAGTCTCGGCCATGTCCAACTATGTCCCCTGCCCTCTGGTCTACAGCAGGGCTAGCTGGACACTGCTGCCTGCTGTCTTATCCCTGTCTCCGTCCTGTCTCTCCTCCTCCATCCTCCCCCACCCCCCCAACCTTTCAGGCCACGTATGTGCTGCTGGCCCTGGCCTGGGTGTTTGTGCCTATCTACATTTCTTCAGAGGTGAGTCTGCTCTGGGGTTCAGGGTGCCCTTTGACCTCCAGCTGGGGTGTGGGCCCTGGGTGGGGCTACAAGGAGCGTTCTGGCTGGGCCTTTACCCAAGTTAGGGGTAGTGGTCTTCATTTCCTGTACTCATCAAACCAAACCGAGTAGCTTCAAGCAACAGCGAACTGTAGTCTCACCATTCTTGAGGCTGGACGCCCACAAGGCAAGTATCAGCAGAGTCAATGCAGCTCCAGGGCGAAACCCTTCCTCGTCTTCTCCGGACTTCCTCCCCAGGCTTCCGTAGCTCGTGGCCGCACCACTCCAATCTCTGCCTCTGCCATCACACGGCGGTCTTCCTTGTGTGCGTGTCCCTCTGTCTCTCCTCTTGTAAAAGCACACACTCGGCCTTGACCTCCCATTGATTGAGCACATCTCCTAAGACCCTCTTTCTAAACAAGGCCACATTCGCACGCAGCAGGTTGAGGGGTAGGGCCTCAGCCTGTCCTTTGGGGGACATAACCCTCTCTCCCCCTGGTGAACTTCCAGGACTGAGGGTGTTCCTTCTCCAACTAACATTCCTCACATCCCAGCCCCCCCGCCCCATGGGAGGCCTTGACCCAGGGGCCTTGTTGGCAGCTCCAGCACCTGCCCACCCCCAGATTACAGACTGAACACCTAGGGGCGCCATCCTTGACTCCCTCGCCCCGTGCAGCAGCCACTCAGACCTGCGGCGTCCAGGTCCTAAGGCTCAGCATCTCCCTGCTCTGCAGCCTACGGCCTTCTTCTCAGGCCTTCCCTCTCACCTGGGGTTCCCCTCCTTCGCCCACGGCCCCACCAGTGTTCCTGCCCCGGCCCTTTCAGGATTCGGTGGGCCCTCAGCCTGGGATTCAGACCAGTGCTGGGCGGCAGTGAGCAGTCGGGCCTGGGTGTGGCGTGTGGGTGCCCTCAACCCCTGTGCCTCCCTCCAGATTGTCACCATGCCCGAGTACATGCAGAAGCGTTACGGAGGCCAGAGGATACGCATGTACCTGTCTGTCTTGTCCCTGCTGCTGTCCGTCTTCACCAAGATATCGGTGAGCTGCCCGACCCTCACACAGCAGAGCCATCTGGAAATGGTCCCAATTTGGGCACGCCCCCACCACAAACGTGCCTGATCTGTTTGAAGCTGAGGAAACTGAGGCCCCGGAAGGGATGGTGTCATGATCAAGGTCATACTGCAAGCCTGGGACAGAGAGCAGACCCAGCCACACCACAAGCTGCATGTTGGGTCTGTAGCCCACAAGGCTTGGGGCACTGAGCAGGGGTCCAGGAGCAAGGGTCCTGGAAGGGCTCTCCCCAGGGGCAGGTCCCTGGCACCTCAAGGCTGCACCGAGGGAAGCCGAGTGCCCGCCAGGGGGCACTAGAAGCTGTGCTTTTTCTGCCAGTTCAGCTGCTCTGGCTTCTCGCCTGCTCCTATGCTGATCGGCTCCATCCCATAAACTGACCTCTGGGGACAGCATCCTGGCCTTGGGAGCCATTCCAGTGGGCACCCCTCCAGGCAACTTTCACATTTGTGAGTCTAGACCTGATCCTAATTTGTGAAAATTAAGAGCAGAAACACAGGGGAATGTCAGAGTCAGAAGGGGCTAAGGGTGGGCTGGTCTCCTCCTGAGACCTCATCCTTCAGCCAGGGAAACTAAGGCCAGGAAGGGGCAGTGACTTGACCAATGCCTCCCAGTGGCGTGGTCAGCCAGGCCTTCCACTTCCCAGTCCTGACCTGGTGGCCCTGAGGTGCTTTCAGATCTTGCTGGCCCATCTTGTTTCCAGACGTCTCCGTAAAGCTTTGACATCAGACCGAGTCTGCCTAATTGTGGTTGAGTGGCCCAGACAGGCGTGTCCCCTTCCTGTGTCCAGTTTTCTTGCTGCGGGGAGGCACGGCAGGGTCTGTGCTCTCCTGGCTTCTCTGAGGACTGGGGAGTGGACGTGACTTCCGATGCCTCTCTCCCCAGTGGTGGGGTCACGCCCAGGCCGTTTAGTTCCAGGGCTGTCACTGATCTACTTGGGATGTGAGGCGATGGTGGAAAAGGCCTTTGGGGCAGTCAGATTAACTGTGGGGCCATGGGATCAAGGCCCTGAAGCGGGTGGCAGGGACACAATGGAACCTCGTGTACTGACAGAGCGGCTCTAGGACCCCACTGGGCAGGCTGCAGGGGAGAAAACACACATTGCCTCCCCGGACTTCTCCAAGCACCACGACGGCTTTCTTTGTCTTTTAAGAGCGACGCTCTGCAGGGTCTGGATCAGCCCTGTTCTGGACTGCCTTTGAGGTCAAATATCAGAACTGAATCCGTTTCCATTCAATCTCATACACTCCTGCCCCCCCCCTCCCACTGCCCCCAACACACACATTTCCCAGCCACTTCAACGGGAGCCAGGGATACAGAATAAGCCTGATTCCTGCCTACCAGGAGAGTCCTGGGGCGGAGACTGGCGTGTAAGCAGAAGACCACCAGCTGTCAGAAGAGATGGGGTTTGTTGGGGCAACACCTGAGCGGGATTCTAAGGATTGAAAGAGGTCCCTGATGGAGCAGGATAGGAAACACCAAAGAGAGAGGGCCGGGGACAGGATAGGAGGTCATCGTCGGGAAAGGACAATCCGTCCAGGGTGGTTGGTGGTCAGGAGGCCCAGACTCCAGGGGTCCGTGGGAAACGCCTCTGAGCATCAGAAATGAAAGTGTGAGGAGAAGCAGGAAGTGAGTAGCAGGGAGCGAAGGCGACAGTGGCCAACCAGGGGCCATGTCTCAGCAGTCGCAGAAAACAGGCCTGCGTGCACGCGCGTGTGTGTGTGTGCACGTGCGCCCACGCTCTGGGTGCTGGTTCCAAGCCCTGGTGGAGAGGCCACGGTGAGCAATGGCGCTGACAACTTCTGGAGGAAAGGGGCCGAAACGCCAGACCAGGGCCCTTCCTCCAAGGGGCATGATGGGGTCTTGGCAATTTGGTCAGTTCGGACAGGCTCTCTGGCACTTCCCAGAGGATGGGCTGAAGGGGAGAGAAGTGAGAGAAGGGAGGCCCGGGAGGAGGCCCCTGCTGTCCAGCTGAGGGAAACTGGGCAGGGTGGTGGACACAAGGGGGGCTCTTCTACCCCCCACTTCACCATCGATCTAAACTCTGTGGCAGTTTCTCTGTCACACCATAGGTGGGTAGGCGGAGCCAGACCTCCAGCCTGGCAGAAAAATCAAACCTGACTCCCTGCCACCCTTTAGGACAGGGTGGAACTGCCCCGTGGGTCCCCATTATGGGACTCAAAAGTCCTGTCTGTGACCCTTGGAGCGGCTGGTGGTTTTGAACTGCTGACTGTGGTGAGGAACTGAGTCCGGGGGGTGCTCTGGTGTGGCGACCCCCAGCTTACAGGTGAAGCTTTAGGGGCTGGCAGGGGCGTCCCTGGCCCCAGGTCTCACGGAGAAGCAGGCAGAGGTCACAGTTAGAACCTAGGCCTCCCGCGGCCTCCACGCCCAGAGCCCAGGCTGGAACCGGGCTGCGCTGGGCTCAGAATGCTGGGTTCCAAACACTACTCTGGCCGGCAGCGAGGTTTGTGATGAGGATGACTCAGTTTACCCAGCTGTAAAATGAGGCGCAGCCATGGGCCTCTGGACCAGTGCTTCAGAACGCTGAAGGCTGCTGGGATGAAGCGGAGGGTCAACGCAAGGAATGCTAATTGGTGGCTTGGGTTGGGGAGGGCTGGGAAGGCCAGGCTTCTTTGCTGTGGCTCTGGGGTGAAGCTGTTTGAATTGTGTGCACCCGCGGGCCCCAGAGGCCCTGACCTGACCCAGGCTGAGCCCCGGAAGAGCCCTCCCCACCCCCATGTCTGCACGTACTCTGGCTCTATCCTGCATTGTATGCAGGGAGAGATCGCAGGGTCCTGCCTGCCTGTTGCCATTGACCTCAACCACTACCCAGCTTATATGGGTAACCAAAGCCCAGCTTCTGGGCCAGACCAGTTGTGGGAAATGAGAATCCCTTGCCAGAGCTTCAACTCCACTTGCCGTAGCCCCCAACATCCACATGATCTGGGGGTCACTGACCTCTCCTTTCTCCCCGTGGCCCGTGCTGCTCTAGACATCCTGACACCGCAGTGTCTGACCGATCCCGGGCCTTTTGCACCTACTGTGCCCGTGTCTGAGCATCCACTTGGCTCGGCTCTTCCAACTCACTTCTCCTCAACAATGGCTCCTCCAGCCTAGCAGGCTCCCAATCACTCTGCCCAGCACACGGACTGTCCGCCCATCTCCGTTCGCGTGACTTGCTCTCCTTCTGCTTCCCACAGTTCATGCCCCACGGTTCATGCAGCGTCCAGCCGCCCCATCCTCTGCCTGCCCCTCCCTGTAGCTCTCATGCCTGCGGTCGCTCAGCCCACCGTCCACTCAGCTCATCCACCATCTCTTATTTTCCTGTTTTGTCACCGAAGCGTCCTGTGTGGCACCTAGCAGCCCCAGGAGGTATTCATCGAAAAGGACAACAGCAACAAAAAAAAACCCTCACTGCCATCGGGTCAATGCCGACTTGTGGAGACAAGAGTAGAAAGCCTGTCTGTCTCCTGAGGAGTGGCTGAACTTGCAGTTGGCAGCCCAGCATGTAACCAGGACACCACACCTTGTGAGATGAGCAAGATGGTACAGGTCAGGAGTCAGTGAACGTGTTTTCAAAGGGTCAGAGGGCAAAAGGCTTCAGCTCTGTGAGTTTCTTGGGCAACTCATCTACCACTGGCGCAGAAGCAGCCAGGGCTGGCGTGACGGGTGTGGCCTGCCCGCCCCAGTGCGCTGGCCCCTAACATTTGTGAGCACTTGTTCAATGGGTGTCCTGGCAGCATGGTGGTTATGGGTCGGGCTGTGCTCCGTGTGGTCTGCAGTGTAAAACCACTAGCTGCTCCTCAAGAGAAAGGCAGGGCTTTCCAGTCCCGTAATCACTTACAGTCTTGGAAACTCGCAGGGGGCGGGTGTACCCTGTCCCATAGTTTGGCATCGACTCGATGGCAGTGAGTCTTTTTCTTTTCACTTTTCACTGTGTGCCAGGCAGATCCGCCCTCGGCAGCCAGTGGGCATTCCTTGATGGCTTTCCGACCAGATAGGCAGGATGCACGGGAACCATGATGAATAATTGGAGGGCTTCTGATGAAAAGGAAGCGATCAACGTGCGGACAGAGAGACTCAAGCGAGGACAGACAGGCTTCCCCCGGTCAGAGAACAGCGATCCTGGCAGGAGCACCCAGTCCACCAGCAAGGCCGGGGGCTGGACGCACCCAGTGGAGCTGTGGATCCCAAGCCCAGCCTTTGGAAGCCTGGGGAGCTGTCCTGTACTGGCCTCGGCCTGGGTGGACTCAACAGAAACCGGCCTGAGAGAGCATGCTGGGCACGAGCCCAGAGGAGTGCAGCCTCCCAGGTGGAGGGAGGGCTCAGGCGAGACCCCGAGACAGGACAGAGCTGGGAGGTCCAGGGCCCAAGGACCCTGAGGGACTGGGGGAAGGCAGGCCCCGGCACAGCCCACACGGCAGAAACTCAGAGCCCGGAGGTGGGGAGAGAACACTGGAGAGGGGTCCTCCGTGGTGGTGGTGGGGTGGTTGGACATGGGCGTGTGGGTACAGTTCCTTTGTCACCATGACGACAGGAACAGGGGGCTGGGGTGTGGCAGTGGTCAATATGGGCTGGGCATCAGCAGGGAGCACTCAAGGTCCTGGCTCAGGTGGGTGGGCTGCCTGCCGGGGGGAACAGGAGGTACATGGAGTCACTCTCTCGGTGCCCTTGGCCGGAAGGCACCCCTCAGGACCTTTACATGAGGCCGAGGCCGGGCTGGCTGCACTGGGCCTCACCCCGCAGACCCACGCGTCCATCTCTGTGCCCTGAAAACAGCTCAGCCCCCAGGAGGTCTCCAGGACGGGAGCAGGGATGGTGCACTCCCAGCTGGCAGTCGGCCGTTTGCTGTACTCAGGAGCAACGGGGCATCTGAGTGGTTCACAGAGGCTACTGTGGTGGAGGCCTGGCCTGGGCACAGACAAGGAGGTGTGAGCAGGCAGGCCTGCAGTGGGAGGGTGAAGGGGAGGGGAGGCCAGACTCTGGACATTCCTGCAAGGGTAGCATCGGCAGCCTCAGAGCTGGGGGGGGACAGGGGGGAGGGGGAAGGTACATGCTGGGGCTACACAGGCAGTTTGCACAGACTCTGGGTACTGGAGAGGGCCTGCCTTGGGGAGTCGGGTTCCTGCCGATTTTGAACCTGCAGTGCTGCCACCGTGGGCAGGTCCCTTTGGTCTCTCTTGGCCTCCCAGCTGCAGGTTTGCACGATGAAAGAGACGGGCCAGACTCCATAGCTCTGCCAGAGAGGCCTGGGGGAGGGAGTTCCCCGCACACCTGGGGGGGCCCTGGAATGATTAACTGGAGGGATGGAGGGGTAGCCGGGGGTCACAGACCTCGGGATGCTCCCCAAGGAGGAGGCCACTGTACACTCTCCACTCTACAGAAAAGGGCCTGAGGCCTGAGGAGTCCAGTGGCCTGCTCCCAGGCTGGGGATGGCCGAGGAGGGCCGCAGGCAGACAAGGATCTTCTTAGCTGGGGCCCACAGCACAGAGAACATGGCTGTGGGAGGGGTCAGGTTGGACAAGGCGGTGGCTTGAGATTGAGTATGGCCAGTGTCCCCAGTGGAAGCAGCCGACATTTGCAGGTCTTGGTACAGGGCTCCGAGAGTGGTCCCTGCTGCCTGGGGAACTCCTGCCCGTGCTTCGAGCCGACTGTCCCGGGTGGAAAGGAAGATGAGCCAGCTCTTAGGGAAGCGGGGAGGCTGAGCTGGCGGGGCACTGGGGACAGCCAGAGACTGGAGGCCCAGGACAGAGGAAAGGCCAAGGTCGAACACCTCTCAGGCTGACTTCGGAGAAGTCCCTTCCCCTCCCTGGGCCTCAGTGCCCTCCACTGGGACCAGCTCAAATGTGGGGGCATCCACGTGTCCTTACTTTCCATGTTCAATGCCAATGGTCTCATCCCAGCCCAATGCACACACATTCGATCTGTCTCTCTCTCCCTGGAAAAGCCAGGGGCCCCAGCATCCTCCTGAAGCTCATCAACCTGCCTGAGATCCTTCCCAGGTAGTGGTGAGGACGGACTTCAAATATTGTACTGTATATATGGCTGTGGGGTCGCCTCTAGGTCCCACTCAACTTGGGGCTGGGGGAAGCCAAGGCCCACAGCTGGGCTCTGGGCAGAACTGGTCTGATGCCTTGTCCGCAGTCTGGGGAGGCTGGCTGTGTGTATGGTTGCTGCCTGGGAGCTCAGCTTCCCCACAGCAATGCTCCACCCTCCCCAGGCACCTCCTGGCCAGAGGCAGTAGCTCCAGGCCCTTCCCCTTCCCCGGAGGCCTGGGGAAGCAGTGTTAATGGGTGACTGCCACCTGCAAGGCCAGCAGTCGGAAACCACCAGCTTCTCTGTGGAGGAAGACGGGCTCTCTAGTCAAGAGTGAACAGTCTTGGAAACTCATGGGGCAGTCGTACCCTGTCCCATTGGGTCACTATGTGTTCCCATCACAGGGGGCAGGTTTGGAAACCTGAGAAAGGTAGGGTAGGATAGGGTGGAGCCTGGGACCTACCCGAGCCCCTACCTGGGGTCTAATTATGGTTTGGGATGCCCCTTGCAATGCTGAAGTTGCACGTTGCAATGCAATGCTGAAGTGGGCGCATGCAGGGCTACTGCACCTGTCCTTAGGATGCTTCAGGTTCTGGGATGGCCAGGACTGAGTTCCATTCTGACCTGGGCTCAGCTACAGTCTGAGCCACAGGTGGCTTCTGTCCCAGCCATGCTGCACACCGTTGCCTGTGTTTCTGGGGGGATACAGGAGGAAGCAACAGCATGTCTGTCTCCAGAACTCCTGCCCCCACCCCAAGAAGCCCCTCTGACCTCCCCACTGGGAACCCAAGTGAGGGGCCAGGTGCAATCACACACAGCTCCCTGGTGGGCAGGACCACGCCAGAATTTATTCATGACAGGGATGGCTGTACACTGGAACCTGGCACAGGGGCTCTGCCAGCATCTCCCCAGTCCTCACAACAGCCCTGTGAGGTGGGCAGGTGCTATCTCCCCACCATGCCCGGGCCCGTGTGGCTGCTTGTGGTACTAAGACAAGGAGTCAGCTGGCTCCCCGCAGCACCATGCCCTGCAAGGGACGTTTGCCTCCCCAGATCGACCTGTACGCAGGAGCTCTCTTCGTGCACATCTGCCTGGGCTGGAACTTCTACCTGTCTACCACCATCATGCTCATCGTCACTGCCCTGTACACCATCGCAGGTAGGAGGGTCCACTCCCTTCCGGAGGCTGGGGGCAGCAGTCTGGACAGAGGGTGAGACTGCTCCAGACATGCCTGCAACAGCCTACTGTGTCCCGCCCCC